CCTAGTCAAGCTTTCATGTTTGGTGAAACGTTTTCTTTGATTTGGGAGTGGTTCTCATGGGTTTTGTGTGACCAATGGAAGCTGAGGGCGTGTTTGTCATGGCAGTCTCGTATTTGAGGATGTCAATGGCAGAAAATGTAAATTTGAAGAACTTTTAAATGTTATTTTATCTTTTCATGGTTTTAAGTAGGGGGTTGTTTGGTAATTTGAGCTTTTTAAGCCTATTAGGCTATATTTCATTGGTCAAAGTCTTCTAATGAGTCAAGAATGGGTCTGACATCAGCCATCACCCTTTTAAGGCTTCAGGTTGAGCCAAGTGATGTGGCAATTTAATCTGGTGCATCGAAATGGTATCTTTCGAGTTTAACGGTCAAACGAATGAATCTGGTTATGAAATTTGGCGCCCTGGGGTCTCTAAACACAGTGGTGAGGTCTGATTGGACAAATAGGGTCGAGATGATTGATATCTATGGCTGACAAGTTCGGGTCAATGAGATTTGCTGAAGTAGAGTCTTTGTTTGATGAAGGGTCAAACGGGGGAATTTTGGGATGAAATTTGGTGGGTTGACATTTTTGAACATCCTAAATCTAATGGAAGTGATGGATCTTTGATCAGAGGTGTAGATTAATAGATTTAGTTCAGATCATGGTCTTAGCTTGTATTTTTTTCAATTAACGAGAGGGCTTAAAATAGAATCTTACTTTTTCAGTGGTCAAATGGAGGTGTTTGGTCATGAAATTTGATGTGCTAGGGCTTCTTGGGTCTCGGAACACAGTGGTAAGGTCTGATTGGTCATGTGAAGTTGGGATGACGGATGGTAAATTCTAATTAATGAGATTTGCTGAAATATGATCTAGGCTTGATGATGGGTCAAACAGGGGAATTTTGAGCTACAATATGATAGGTAAGCATGGATTAGGGTGAGGAGTCAAGTGGATGGTTTTGATCTGAGAAAGATATGGTTAACCTTGGTAATCGTTCAGGGCCATTAGAATATGATCTTGATGTTTTTGCGATTGATTATCGTAGATTTGTGGTGGGATTCACTAGTCGATTACTTCCTAGTGGTCTTAAGGTGATGGGTGTGTTGGATTTGATTTTGGAGAAGTTAAAATTTGAAATTCACATAAATTAGGGCCGTTAGAAAGGAAGTTGGCGTGATAAACGGTGGATCTTTGTAGTTTAGTCATGAAAAGTGATGTATAACTAACTTGTAGTTTTCTGAGTCTGGGGATGATGTCTGGTCAAGGTTCTTATTTATCTTGTAAATTACATCAAAAGGGGGTATTTTGGGTTTTAGAAAGTGTCAAGTCAATCTGGTTGTGTTTCTAAGTTTTTAGGGTCTAAGAAAGGGGTACAAAGAGGTAGGGTGAAAGGATCGAGAAAAATTGGGTACTAACAACTCTCTTAGCAGGAATTTCACCTAAGACCTCTAAGGAGATAAAGGACATCAAAAAGGTTTTTAATGCCTTTGTCGTAGGGAGCATCATCTATGCTAGGTTATGCACTCAACCTGACATTTCTTATGTTGTTAGTGTTATGAGTAGATACCAATCTAACTCAGGATAAGAGCATTAGACAATTGTGAAAAACATACCAAAATACCTATGAAGAAATAAAGACTGTTGTCTTGTTTCCAATGATATTTCACTACAAATCATTAGTTACATAGATGTTGATTTTCAGTTTAACTAGATGATAGAAAGTCTTCATTTGTATACATCTTCATGTTGGGATTCTATGTTGTTAGTTGGAGATGTAGCAAACAAGGGTCCATAGTAGACACTACGACCGAGGCTGAGTACATTGCCATTAGTGAGGCTACTAAGGAAGTAGTTTGGAAGAATAAATGTGTCTAAGAATTAGGAATCATACCATCCAATACATCACTCATTCCAATGTTGTGTGCCAACACTAGAGTCATTGTTCAAGGCAAAAAACTAAGATCCTACTCGAAATCAAAGCATATTAAGAGGAAGTATCACGTTCTATGGAAGATTACCAGTAGAGGAGACATTTAGATTGAAAAGGAAGCATCAACGAAAATTGTGGCAGGCCTATTAACTATGCCACTGACACAGAAAATGTTTGAAAGACACGTAGATAGTATGAGACGAAGGCTTATACTCAATTAGACCTAATTGCAAGTGGGAGTTGTTAGACTGTGTATGCCCTTAGCTCCAATCAAATTGATGTACACACACATTTATGAATAATATAATATATTATTATTTCATAATCACATTTGGTATGTTTTTGTTAATTACTCCTTAAAATAGATATTTACAAAACTTGTGTTAGCTTAGAATGTTCTCATCCATGAGATAGACTTAAGGAGTTTATCCTAACAAGGATGACATTGGTGTGCTACCGAATTGGTGGAGAAACTTGTATCATCTACCAAGGTTAGACCCCAAGTATAGCCATTAGGTGTTTGGAAAATACACTGAACCCAATCCAACCCTAGTAGGGACCGATTTTCTTTAGTTCCTAATTGAGTTTTTGGAGAAAAACATTAGTTTTCAGAAGGCACACACTACTGCATCAATCTCAAGGAAGTTGGAGATTCGTTTTGCAAAAGGGTTGCATTGCTAAATTAGTTTCACTTCACTGTTGCACTATCTTCAACGAAAGGCCGATTCAGGTTTGACATTGGGAGTGAACTACCACTCTGTGAACTACATTTGTGGGCTTTATATTAGGTATAAGTAGAAATTAATTTAAGTTTTAAATCTAGTCAAGTTTAATGCAAGACCGATCCTAAAATTTTAGATTTCAAAATTACAAGGAAATCGATTCCTAGATTGGGTTAGAAAAATTTAAAAATTCGACCAACCACTACATTTGCTTTGGCCATATCTCATTTGATTTCTAACCTTTCAATAGTCTATCTCCTAAGGTTTTTAAAAAGCATATTGCTCACATGAGATTAATCAATCATTTCAATGAAATATGTACTCATTTGGATACCCATTTGTAATCACTTTACAGCATATTAATGATGACCTACATTTAACTTCCATGCTTCTCATTCTATGCACATAAATATTTAATGTAATTGTATATAAAAAAATAATAAAAGGTCTCCTTGGGACATTGTAAACTTCATTAGAAGCATATGGGTCTGAATATGAGATAAAGTGGACCTATTAGGCAACTCTTGTCACATACACCATTGTGGTTTATGTAGATGAAAACATTATCACTAGAATCATGCATGGTTGGTCTTCCTATGTTGTTTAGAGAATTGAACAGTTGTCATGATTTAGCATTAGCGTTTTATTGGACTAAATCCTATTAAGTTAACCTCCACGAGTTTTTGCATGGCTACATGCATCATTTTCTAAAAAATTGTGATTTGTGAACTAGGAAGTCACTTTTAAAAGGATTTCAAAAAATAAAATAAATTTCTAGGATAAAGTGAAATCATACCAATGGCTATATACATGCAAGCTATGTTTGACTTTAAAACCAATTGCTTCATGCCCAATTCTTATGCAAAATGAACAAAATTGGGGTAGTAATTCATACTGTACATGAGCCTTACCATTCAAGAGGGAAAGGGATTTCTTGCACCAAAAGGAGGGAAAGAGAAAAATATAAAAAGGAGGAAAAGAAAAAAAAACAAATAGAAATTAGATTATGCAAAATGAACAAACATTAGAAAACAAAAAGTCGAGAAGAACATAAAAAGGGGGGAAAGAGAAAAACAAAGAGAAATTAAATTTCATAAATTTAATAGCCTTCAAACCATCTTTAATTCTATAAATTAAATGGGTAAAGAGTTGGGTCTAAGGACAACATCTACAAAGGGAACCATCTTGGCTTTCTTTATCCATTTTCGGGATTGGGAATTCATGCTTACTTGATCCTTGTTCACCAATACTGTAACTGATTTCATTTATTCTTTTCGTATTGTTTATGCAATTTGAAAGTGTGAAACACAACATTGGTATTGGTATTATATTGAAGGGATTAATCCATGTGAACTATGCTTATTGGAATATGAGCCTTTTATCAAATTAACAGTGGTCAAAATAGAATTTGATTAAAACAATTGAAACTTTATTACAGTAGTTTCGTGGTTAAAGAAAGATGTATAGAAAATAGCTTCTAAAAAGTGCTTTTCACTAACTAGAGTTCGATGCTGAACTGTCTTTGCTTTGGTGGGACCCAAAAATTGAAGAATACTTGTGGTTTGTCCTTGACTTAAACTAGAAATAAAACTCAGATTCGTCTTGAATGAAACCTCTAAGTCCCGATCTTAACCGAAGATGGAAGAAGAAAACCTAGATTTGAAGAAATATTGAATCCCACAGTCGATTCAAGGAAGTAACTCGAAAATGAGTGCTTTCATATATATAGATTTTTTGCCCTGTACTGAAGCTTGAAGAAGGAGGCCTTTTGCGATCTTTAATGGCTGAAGCTTGAAGAAGGGTTTCATCATTTGGAGTCTAGGATCGGCAAACTTTCGGTTCCCACTCCTTTTTGTTCACCTTTACTCTATTTTTAAGTTTAAAAAAGTAAATTATTAAATCTAACAGAAGTTTTATCGTTTGGTCTCACTCCACACACTGAACAGAAGATGTGTTCATAGAAGTGTTCCCCCGCCTACATACTTCGACTGTAGGAGATCTGGGCTCGTTTTGAGGCATATTCATTAAATCTGAAAAGTTTGATTGGCATCCCATCAGTTGAACTATCAATTAAATTATTGGATCATACTTCTCAAACTAGAAGGATGAAATCATGTTTAACTTAGGTGTTGCAAATTTCAAGGTGGCCTTTAGAATAGATGCCCATCCAAGTCCTACTAAACATTGTGGTGTGGAGGAGGAGAAGGCATATAATAAGTGGGAAAAGTCCAACAAACTTAGCCTAATGTACATGAAAACAAACCTTCTCCCTAAGGCTGTGTTTGGAAACGATGCAAATGGGGTATAAAAACAACTTTTTATTGAATAAAAGAATACAATGGAGTTCCTAATTATACCAATGGAGTTCTTTATCAGAATATTCATCAGGCTTGGACTCAATTTCAATCCAAGTGCAATGTCGCATTTCCCGTGTGCCATACAAATCCTCACGAGAGCAAAAATTTCCAAAACAACTGTACTTCCGAGTTGCCAGAGAGTAAAACACACCATCTTGGCCGTGAAATCTAGGAAAATAAATCTTGTTTTCTGTTCCCTTTCTCGGAGCCTGGACTCATTCAGCCTGCGAACACAAATTGGGTTTCCAATGCGACCAACGAAAACCACAAAAATCTTCTCATTGCACTCGGCCATGAAACTATTGTGAATGGAAATGTTAATGTCCTATGACCTTTGGAAGAACAGTCCAACCATTCTCACCTAGCGAGGGATCAAAAGCTCCCACTCTCCCATCCTTACCCAAACAATAGAAACGTCCTTCATGGAAAACTGGATTGCTGTTGGATGCCACAAACTTCACTTTATTCTTGTTTTCTATTCTATAATTAGTCCAGTCGCTTTCTCCCCTACGACAGACATAGATGCTAACAGATTTCGGACTGCAATCAAATTGAGCGAGAACTACGCAATCTGAGCAAGTGGGTGGGGCTGAGAAAGAGACCCCCAAAATTTCACAAGCATAGTCTATATCAGGAAGGTTGATTGTAGTTCTTGTGCTGGGATTGAAGAAGAAAATCGAGTTCCTGCCTCGAGGCATTAACAACCACCCGTACTTGGCGTGGCGGATGTCTGCATCCACTAATTCGGGGATTTCAAACACATAGTTGTTGCTGTAGATCGGGAAGAAGAAACTGCACATACCTGCGCCCGGTGATGTAGCTTTTAAATTCCGTCGGAAGGACGGACTAGAAAATCGTTTCGACGAGGTTGCAGGAGAGAGAGTGAGACATGGACTAGAACATCGTTTCGACAAGATTTCAGGAAGCGAGCGGGGTGGAGGAGAGATCTGTAGCCACGCTTTACAGACGAGGCGGAGGCGAATGCAATCACCCATGAAGAGACCTAATTGAACCAACTCTATGAGATCCATGGGGAGGTCAGCCCACGGTCTTTTCTCATCCTCCATCTCTTGTCCTTGTTCTTCATCCTTCAGCTCTGCTGCTACTCCTCGCTCCTCCCCACAATCCAAAGCTAACTTCATCGCCATGTTCTGCGCAGGACGCGAATCCGGGAATAAAGAAAGAGAAGGAAGGAATAAACAGTGATTGATGGCTGATCATTCCATATTGTATCTCTCACGAGTCACGTCACGAGCTTATATATATAGCCGGGGACCGGGGTTTCTAATTTGTTTCATATCTCAACTAGGAAAAAGCCAAGTCACACTATTAAGTCCTAACTAAACTCCAATGGTCCAATCAATTCTAATTCTAACTACTCTTTAAAAAAAAAAAAGTCTAATTAAACTCCAATTCTAAATATGGTTGCTATAGTACGTACCACTGACTCCATACACATCGGGCTGTTAATGGACGGGATATTGGCCCAATCCGACCCGGTATGAATCCATTACAGATGGACCAGGTCCAATCCTATCCGACCAATTCTAGATTGGTCCTATTCAATGTTTAGACCATCCAATTTAAACCTGGTCCATTGACACCTGTACTCTTATCTTTTTGGTTCAATTCGCCCCGAGTTTAATATAAATCCATTAGAGATGGATTAAGCCCAATCCAATCCAATGAATATTTTGGACCATTGAGTTTGGACTGATCCAATTTAATATGTCATATTGGTCCGTCTTCCAATCCAATTAAATTGTTTTTAATTTGGATGGAATCCAACCAAACCCAGTCCATTAACACCTTTATTTAAGCAGAGTTGGTGCTCGTTTCATCTGTATCCATGTCTGTTTATCTATTCTAATTTATCATTTGCTACTGTATGTAGAGTAGAATTTATTAAGAATTCACATCTGCACCCCACAACACATCCCCATCTTGTTTTGGGAACATCTCCCGATAACAAGTACGAGCAATGATGAGCCAGGAGATGTTCCCAATACAAGGTGGGGATGTGGGCATTGTGGGGCGCAGATGTGAATTCATTTATCAAGCACAATGAAAATAAATGCAGCACTCCCTGGGACACCCACCAATTCTCATCACCTACGGATGTTGGATAACAAATAGATTTTCTTTTTCTCCACTGAACTTAGGGTCACTGAATAACTTAAAAGGGATATGATACATCACTGATAACTCTCCGTAACAAAATGACAATAGAATGTATAAACCAACATTTCCCATACTTGTATTTATTATTCATAGGGAGATGTTCCTAATACATGGTGGGATGTGGTTGTGAATTTAGTGTGAGGAGTGCTCTGTGAGGAGCAGATCCCAATTTCTTTTATCCTGCCCAGCTTGGCTGCCCCCTGGCCCCTTCCCACCAAAAGTAAAAAAGAAAAAAAAAAGAAGAAAACAAAAGAACAACAGGGCTAGTTGCATGTTTGATATAGACATCAATGAATGGGTCTCAACTAGGATATTGGCCATGACAAACTAAGTAATAACAATGAAATGGATTTTAACCATTTGATCTAGCTTTGGTTTTGCCTATAAATTCTCCTTGTAACTTAAAAAAAGAATGTTAAAAGAGATATTATCTAAAACTCACCATGATTTTTCACATTCTCTTAAATTTATCATGACTTTTCAAAACCTCAGATAGATTTCCGTTAGTTCATTGTTAGTGATTATTAACAAAAGTTGTCCACATAAATATTTAAGTATTTTACAAAACCAATCTACCCCTGAATGGACAGTCAATCTTATTAAATAGTTTTATGGCAAAATTATGCCAAATCTGAGCCTGGGCTCACACTAGGCCTGCAAATTTTAGTATGTATATATGTTATTCTATGTTATAATATATATTTTACATATAAATATTATAATATGATATTTATAGTATATTATATATATATATATATATTTTATATTACATATAAAACAAATTTATATGCATATTGTAATATATGCCATTTAAAACAAAATATTATATATGTTAAAGATATAAGCCTAGGTCTTATGTTTTAGGCTTGGAACCTAGGTTGGGTCAGGCCTAGGCTATAGCAATTATCATAGGTACAAAGCCCGACTCAGGATCAGTTTCACCCATGATCACTCCTAAATTTAACCCATCTAATCCTGATTAAACAAAAGAATATATATGTATAATTATTATATATGGGCAATTAAAGGTAATTTTGTCCTAAAAATTTGTAATAAGGTTGAATGGCCATTTAGGGGTAGTTTGGTCATGTAAAATACTTAAATGTGTATGTGGACAATTTCTATTAATGATTACTAACAAGGATCTAACGAAAATCTTCATATAATGTGAGTTTTGGACAATAAAACTAACTTTGGAGGTTTTGAAAAGCCATGGTGAATTTTAGAAAATATCCCTTCATTATAACATGGTTATCCTTAATTGTTTTGTAATGATGTTATCATTCCTGGCAAGCCTTTTTCTAGCAATCTTCGAGTTCTCTCCGACAATGTTCAAGGTCCAAATGTTTCGACTTCTATAACAACATGGATAGGTGGTTTTATTTTTTGCACATTTTACGTCCCTACAATTACAAGTTACAACTTCTTTTATGCACTTTTGGCTTTCTGTGGGGCCCATTCCTTGAATGTTTGCACAGTAGAATGTTAGGGAGAGTTTTGTAACAGGAAGCAATCTTGGGCCTCTCCCGCTTTCACATTTTCAATTATGCCATGGATTGGGTGCCATAATACCTGTTTTCTCTATACCCCTTGAGGGTTTTGCATGGTTGATTCGGACTCATTTGGTATGGAGACACTTTCTGGCTTCATCTCTGTTGGAGGCATTTAGCCGACCTTTTTGGCATTACCTATATTTGCGTCAATTGCAAAGATTTCTGAGATCATGCCTATCCACAAAACACTACCCCTGTGCATTGGAAACATCTCCCCATAGATAATAACATGTAAGAGAATGAGATATTCCCATATGTGGGTGAGATGTTATATGGGTAGGTGTGGACTCTGAGACCATTACACTTTAATTTCCATTTTACTCCTCAGTCCTCCAAAACAAACAACCTTCCTTCAGTGTCACATGTCAGTGTGTTACTTGTTTTCTTTCGGAAGCCATGTTACTTGTTTTCTCAAGTAGAAAGGGGATACTGGTATTTCTTTGTATAGTTCAGAATCACAAGTCTAATTTACACTGTTCTAGACTTTAATTGGAATTGAGTGGGGTGGGGGGGGGGTCTTTCGTGCTTGGGACCAGAATCTAATCGAACAATAGAAAAATAGTTGAAAAAATTAGAGTTGGAGTTGGATTGGAGTTAGGAGTGTGAATTGTATTTTCCTAGTTGAGATATGAAACTAATTAGAAACCCCGACATGGCTTACAAAAAAAACCGCATGTTGGAGGACAAACATTAAATAATCCTAAAATCTAAACTCTGACTACTGGTGGTTGTTAAATGTCTCGAGGCATGAGTTCAACTTTCTTCTTCAATCTCAGCACAAGAACTACAATCGATCTTCCTTGCATAGAGTTTGCTTATCACATTTTAGGGGTCTCTTTCTCAGCTTCACCCACTTGCTCAAATTGCGTAGTTTTCGCTCATTTTGATTCCAATCTGAAGTGGGAAAGCGGGAGTTATTGATCCCTCACTCACTAGATCAGAAGGGTTGGATTGTTTTCCCAAAGATCACAAGACCTATAATATTTACATTCTTTATAAAGATTTTTTTGCGGTTTTCATTGGTCGCATTGGAAATTCTCAGGCTGAATGAGTCGAGGTTAAAGTCTTGAAAGTGGAAGGAAACGGTAAGACAACATCTAGGGAGCAGAGGCCAAATGCAGCATTACACTTGGATTGAAATTGAATCAAACATTGGTAAATCCTGATTGAGTTGAGTTGGCCTTGGCCGGGGTGATGCCTGCGGTTTGAATTGAGTTCGGATAAGGAAATGAATTAGTTTAATTGTAGTTGTATTGTTGTAATGTTAGAGTTAATTTGAAAAATCATTAAATGAGTTTCAGTTTGTAAATGGAAAGTTAAAATGCTGAGGTTGAGTGGGTTCAAGTAGAATAGTTGTGACTTAATAATATTAAAAGTCTAGTTAATGGGGCTAGACTCTAGAGTAGTTCAAGAATTAACCAATCCTAAGTAGTCTAAAAGTCTAGTCTTGGTTAACTTTCTGAAATCCTGAGAAGACCCAGAGTTCACTTTAGTTGCATGTGGGTGTTTAAATCTGTATCCAAATATGTAAACCAATTATTTTTTAACTTCCTAGATTTTAGAAGTTGTATATCTGAAGGCTAAATAAATATTGATGTTTATACACAGAATTTGAATAAAAGTCCATATTAATTATAAGGAAAGTGACCAGTAATGTAATTAGTGGTCATATTAATGTATACGTTAAGGCTAATTATATAGAAAGAGTAATCCATGTTTCAATATTTGCTATGCTTTGTTACTATCAATGGAAAGGAAGAAGGTATGTAAATTTGCACCAAGCAATTAAGGTGGCCACAGAGAGGGATCCTAAGGCCAATTTGATCCTTGGATAGGGTACCTTCTTGATTGGCCATGGTTTCACTCTGGTCCATACCAACTGCCATGATTGACCACTTGGACCTTTTATGCCTATTGGACCATGCTGGAGAAGTTGAGTTGGGATCTGTAGGCCTCATTACATTGGCATGTTCATTCGTAATTGATTTGATTATATAGCCTGTTATAACAATTGTATGAGCAGTAAATCCGAAATCCCAACTACATGCTGTGTTTCGAAAACCAGATTGAAGATCAAAGAGGGCTGCTTTTGTATATGTTTGCCAGTTTAACCGGGCAGATTTGCCTCAAAACGCCAGGTTTTCATAGACCCAGTTCAATTGGCTGTCCAAGTACTGTTTTCAGAACATTGACTACATGGGTTAAGTCAATAGCCATATGTTCATCTGACCTTAATACCTACACTATTGTTCTGGACCTCTTTTGGAAGAGGTTCAATCGGCTTCCCAACATTTGATGCTATTATACTAATACTTTTTGCCATCGACGTGTGAGGCATTCGATTTGGAGATTATAAATATGCACCTAGATTTCCATAGCATCCATCTTGTAAAATGACAGTGCTGCTGGCATTTTGTTTTCATGA